AGAGGTTAAAAGGAACCTTTTGATAGATAGCAACATGTTCAAATGGTAAGAAGAAAAACAATAATCGATGGATGACTTAAGCAAGTAAATGAATACTACATTCACAAAACGTTTTTAGATCCCATATAAAATAACACACATTAGATATGCTCATGTGCATGACATGTAGTTTTTGGTGTTGAGGATATGAGAAACTTACCTCAAGGATATTATTGGAGTTTTGGAGTTGAAAGAGACCAAAAAATGCAGGAAGAAAGGAGATAGAGTAGAGTCTTCTCTCTTAATTTATGGAAAATCTTTAGCAGATCAAAGCCATCTCATAGTTGTAATATATAAAGTCATTCATTAACTCGTAATAATATTAATTAGTCAAGCCAAGCATCTTCATCACCAAAACACGTGTTCCATGATATATAGTTACTTCTTCTGTCCTAAAAATGATAGTATTTTTTGGATTTCAAGACTCAAACAAGTTATTCTTTCACCATGAGCTTTTTACATATACCCTTTAACTGTTTGAATTGTTAATATAATTATTTTGATTTATAATACTTCTTATTAGTTTTTAAATATATAAATTTTATTTCCAAATTCATAGTCAAAAGTTAAAAAAATTTACTCTCGAAATCGAAAAAAATCTTCATTTGGGACGGAAGGGTACTTAATTATCTCAACAAAAAAAAAAAGGTATCATTGAGGAAGAAAAAGATTGTGTATCAACGACGGTTGATTTATAGTATTTGTTTTGCCAATCCTTTGATATCTAAATTATTTGAACTTTATCGCTCTCAAGTCTCAATCATACAATACTGATACATATGTACAAATATATATAATATGCAAATATATACACGTTGTCCACGCAGGGGCGGCTATTGGGTAAAGCCAATAAAGTCTAGGCTTTAGGGGGTCACTTTTACTAATAGGATCCTAAGCTTATACTCCCTCCGTTCAAGTTACATGAACTCATTTGATTGGGTACGGAGTTTAAGAAAAAAGAGAAGACTTTTAAACTTATGGTGTAAAATGAGGCACATATATTTTGTGTGACTATAAATCATTGCATAAAGTTAAATTGTTTTCAAATAAGAAAAGAGGTCATTCTTTTTAGCACGAAATAAAAAAAAAATAGGTTCGCATAAATTGAAACAGAGGGAGTAAATTATTTTTAGAAAGCAATATGAGGTTTGAGGTTTTCTTAAAAAAACAAAGTACTGCATATATGCACGGTAGGGGTGTACAAATCGAATCGAAAAATCGCACTAAATCAAAAAGTCAAATCAAACCAATTAAAAAACCCGACTTGATTTGGTTTGATTTAGTTTGGTATTGAGTAAAAATATCCGACCAACCCGACATATAAATATATAATTTTTATATATACCTTTAAGATTTTATATAGAATTTTCTTTAAAAACTGTCTAGAAATATTTGGGATTCTCTTGCGGGATATAAATTTTAATAGAATATGAAGTGCTCCATATTTATTGACCTTAAATAATGGGTTGTATGATCACTTTCTTATCAAGAGTTACTGAAATGCGTTTGTCTCTTTGTTCTTCCATATTCACATCATATGTTAAAATCTATTAAATTCTTATATCTTTTTCGAATGTGAAGTGATTATTAATATTTAAGTATCATATTGATTTTTATGTTTAATTACTAAATTCGGTTAACATGAAAGTGTACATCAACGAAAAATTATTGTCAGACGACTAAAAAAATAACTATTATGTATTACTAATAGAATTCTCCCATAAGAATATTTTAATCGATAATATGTTTGTCAATTTTTTATATTTTTACTAAATTATATTTACTTATCAAATATTGAACAAAGTAATATTGAAATAATATTTAAGTAACAAAAAACTCGAAAATCCGAAAAACCCGACAAAATCGAACCAATCCAAACCGATATAGTTGGTTTGGTTTGGTTTTGATAAAAACCGAACCAACCCGGTCCATGTACGCCTTTAAAGGCACGGTAAAACGAAAGATATACTACCAATAACTTTTGGGGCTTTTGCATCTATACCTAGTTTTGGAGTCACAATTGAACCTATACCTACTTTGCAAAACAGTTTGCAAGCGTACCCACTTTACGATCAACTTCAGACTTATCGGGGCTGAAGTTAAAAAAAAATTAGTCTGAAGTGAAAAAATTACACTTCAAATACACTTAAGGCCAAATAGGTCTGAAGTGCAACCAATGGTTTCATGCACTTAAGGCTAATAAGTTTGAAGTGAAAAATTGCACTTCAGATGCACTTAAGGCCAATAAGTCTGAAGTACAACAACCTTTTTCATTCACTTAAGGTCAATAGGTCTGAAGTGAAAATTTACACTTCAGATGCACTTAAGGCCAAAAAAGTCTGGAGTGCAACAAACGTTTTCATTCACTTAAGGCCAATAAGTCTAAAGTAAAAATTTGCACTTCAGATGCACTTAAGGCCAATAAGTCTAAAGTTAAAATTTGCACTTCAGATGCACTTAAGGCCAAATATGTCTGAAGTGTAACCAATTGTTTCATGCACTTAAGGCCAATAAGTCTGAAGTGAAAAATTGCACTTCAGATGCACTTAATGCCAAAATGTCTGAAGTGCAACAAACGTTTTGCTACACTTAAGGCTATAAGTCTTAAGTGAAAAATTGCATTTTAGATGCACTTAAGGCCAAAAGGTGTGAAGTGCAACCAATGTTTTTATGCACTTAAGGCCAAATAGGCCTGAAGTGCAAATTGCCAGAAACAGAAATTTATTCTTCGAATTATAACAATCCAATTTACGATTTAATACCTAAATCTACTCCAAATGAGTTCAAATTTGAAACATAACCTCCAAATATCATCAGGAACAAACCCCAATCAGCAATTTATCAAAACAACAATAAATCTAATGAACCCATTTTGAAATTAAGAAAAAGAAGAAACCCTAAGCAATAGCAAAAAATAAAGCGTTATAATAGCTCACAATTATAAAATATCATAAACTACATTAAAATATGTTCACAACCATCATACAAAATCATCGTCACCCGGAGAAGAAAAAGAAAAAGAAGGAGAAGAAGAAAACGAAAGAGGAGGAAAAAGATGCCTAAAATTGTTTAAAAAGTATGTACACGTTAAAAAAATTAAAAAATGGGTATAAATTAAATGAGGTGACCAAATAAGGCGCCATGCAATTTTTACATAACTTTTGACCAAAACAGTGGTGGCCAAAAATCAATTAAGGTGACGTTGAGAATGCAAATTTTGGAATAAATCATCACAATTATTCTCTTTTAGCTAGTTTCTTTCGATTAGACCTTTTTCCACTTTCTTCTCGGTTTACTTTTTACAATACTCTTTTTATACTTTCTCACAAAGTTACGGTACAGTATATTGCTATTATATTTTCTTTGTTCTTTCAAGAAAGTCATCTCACAATATTGTTCAAGAAAAGCTATAGTTTATTATTCTGTGATTTTTGGGGTGTCAAGCATTGCACGAACACGAAGATTATTGAAGCAATAAATATTTCAAAGTTATTGAATCAGGTTCTTCTATTCCTAACTTTGTAGTATTATTTTTCAGCCAAATTATTTTTGTTGATATTTTTGTTGCATAGGTATATATTTTCATTTTAATATTTATAAGAATTCAAATATGTCAAATAGAAAGTATGAGTCCGACTATTCAAAACTTGAAGAAAAAAAAGAAGAGAAAAGTTGAATATTTAATACAATCTCAAAAAGGAGCTATTGATAAATTTTTAATAAATAATAATAAAAAAACTCAATCAGAAATTATAGGAGAATATTCTCGAGATGAACAAATCACTAAGCAAGTTGTGTTAGATAATAACATTCTAACATCATCCAAGAAGAAGAGGAAATTAGCGGTCAATCAGATAAAAAAAGACTTGATTAATTCCAAGTACTCATTGCCTTAATGGAAAGAAGTTTTTCAAAATTAAATTTGATAAAATCTTATTTAAGATCAACAATGAATTGAATGGACTAGCTATATTATCAATTGAAAAAGTAATATTAGAAGAAATAGATATTATTCATAATTTTGTATCTCAAAAAGTTAAAAAAATAAACTTCAAATAAAAAATATTATATGTTTGTGTTCTTTTTTGGAGAAATGTTTTTGAGGCCTCGTTGAAGTTCGCTTTAGGCAGTAAAGATGTTAACTAATGTGTGTTTGATTCGGCGCGAAAGAGATATATATTTCAATTATAAAAAAACAAACAAATTACATTATGAATTATAAACCCCATAATCAAACCTGCAGGGTTGGCTGAATGAGCCAAAGGCGGACCTAGAGAATTGACTACGAGTTTTCGGGAACTCAGTAACTTTTGCATAGACCTTGTATTTATATTAAAAAATTTATTAAATATTTATAAATATCTAACTGTGAACCCAACTATTATTGCATATTAATTTAAAATTATGATAGGAACTCATAAGCCTCAAATTCTGAATTCGCTTGTAACCAAACATACATAAAAAATATAACCACTCTATCACTAACAGAAACAATATAAAATATGGAGTTGCTTGTAATGTCATGACTGTTGGGGTAGGAACAATGATTACAGAACGTGCCAAACATGAATTTGTATATTTTTTTAGTAATTAAAGATTTTATTACCAAATGGAATAAATATGTATAATTTTCTTCTAGAAAAGAAATAAATGGTCAAAAACATTTAAATAAATAAGATAAGAGTGATTTTAATTATTTTCCTTTTTCAAAATTATTAGGAGCGTAGCTGCTTCTCTCTTCTTTCACCACCTTTGGTTATTCGTTTTCTTCGCAAAAACAATAGAGTTAGCTTCCCTTAACCATCTATTCTTTCTTTCTTTTTCTCCACCAATATCTCCTTGCTTTCTCTCTCTCGCTTTTCTTCTCTCATTCTATCTTCTTTCATTCATTGCCTCAAAAAAACAGAAGTCTAATGCTCACCGGCTTATCTCTCCCCCCTCTCCCGCCGGATATCTGATCACGCCACATATTCGTTGTCGGAGATTGTCGTAGCAGCTAGCACACAATGGCACCTACTACGACCACCATGACACAACATCCTCGCCATGCAAATACTATTGGCGAGGATGTCGTGTCCGTTGACGTTGACCTCGCCTGGCCATTCGAAAATCTTGACGGTCTTTACCGTGATGATTTTCGTGACGCGGCTTATGAGATATTCTTCACCGCATGTCGGTCATCGCCAGGGTTTGGAGGTAGGACGGCGATCTCGTATCATAATCCGTCGGAAGGAGGAGATGGAAGCGGGTCCGGGGCTGGATCTACTAGCCCCGGA